TTCTTCGGACTGGTCATGGGAGGAAAACCACTGAGGAGGACAGAGCAGTTAGAGTTGATCCAGGAAACTTGCAGTTTACAGATGACGGGGTTAAATACTTGCTCTGAGGGTTATCTGATCAGCAGGGGGGGAACCCTGAGGGTCCAGAGGCTAGTCGGCAGGCAGAGGCAGAGACTGAACTGAGTGCAGGCAGGCAGATTCCAGACAGAGATATTTTCTCCAGGGTTACAGGTTTCCAGAAAAGTCAGGCTCTGTGAAGCAGAGAGATACAGGATCAGACAGGTTCTCAAAATCAGGGTTTCAGATCAGGCAGGCTGGCTCAGGTTTTGCTAACCATTACTGGCAAACACTCTGGCAGTGAAGTGTCAGCCTCCTCCTCCTTAAATAGGATTTCTGATGAGCAGACAGGAAACAGGTGTGTAGAAGTACGCTCATGCCCTCAGGAGGAAGATTTCAGGCGCCCTCTGGTGGAGAAAGTGGACAAGCCTCCAGATCCCAACAACTTTCTACATACTAGTCTAGAATTAGGGGCTGTTGCAGGTTCAACATTTTTGTGTATCTAAGTTGGTTTTGGGGATTTTGAGATATTTTTTTAAAAATGGGTAAAAATCTGATTAAAATTCATGTAAATCTTTGTCACATATTTATATGGTTCCTTGTTATCTTTACACTTTAAAAGAGAAGAAAAAATATCTTAACTTAATGGTATAGAATAAGTATTACTTTGAGTATAACTATATAAAATAGCCTTTGACAGAGAACTAGAGCGTTAGCAGGTCCATGTTGTGCGTATCTGGTGTTTATCAATGTAAGCATCATTACATTTGGGGAAGTTACCATGCAGAAGCAGCCAAGCTGAAAAGAGAATATATTCATCAGCAACCCCCCCATAATTAATAAGTGCAGAGTTAAAAGTGAATATGTATCAGAGAAGCATGGGCTGCTGACTAATGGTCTCACTGGGACTATCAATAGTGTAATATATTTTTAGCTGAAATACAAACAAAGACTTCCAACTCTGATCTGCAGTTTCTACCATTACAAGCCTGTTAATATTGTGCATTAAGTTTTGTGCCTGGGCTGGAGGAGTTGCTGCTCATTAACAGTTGGGCTTTTTCCTCAAACTAAGGATTTGGATTTGTAAGAGCTTTTAAAAAGTTAAGGTTGGCTTTCTATGTCACAGTCTTGGTTTTGTTATGTTTTTCAGTTTTACTTTGCTCCTTGTTTTAGTGTTTAATTATTATT